CTAAAACAATGGGTTTAAATTGCATTGGGCAGGAAACTGTCACCCACGGACTTTTTGGAGGTATTGAAAATACTGAACAACATAAGCGGTATAGTGTTAAGCTAACTAGCCTAGATGAAAAATTCAGCTGTGAATTTGACGTAATGGATCAGAAGCAGATTTGTGCTCCTATTCCTAAATTAAGTGATTCCAACTGTAAACATGAATTAAAAGGTATGGGTATTTTTGCAAGTGATATCGAAATAAAAGGGAATTCTTGTTTATATGAAAAAAACCCAAATGAAATTCACATACTTATTGGGGCAGATCTTGCAAGTACCTTGCTAACGGGGAATATTAAACATCTATCAGGAGGGTTAGTAGCTGCGAATACGCGTCTTGGGTGGACAGTGCTGGGAAAATCTGTACGAGAAAACGCATTTAATACTCCTCAGTTATTATTAACTTTACATGTAGATTATGCTAAAATATCGGATCTCTGGGAGTTAGATTCTTTAGGAATTCACGATATGAGTGAAAAACAAACAAAAACAGAAACACAAGAAATTGTTCTAAAGCATTTCCAAGAAACATTAACCAGAGATCAAAGCGGTAGGTACCAGGTTTGTTTACCTTGGTTGGAGGGTCGTGTAACATTGTCGGATCATAAAGAATTGGCCAAGAAAAGGCTTAGCAATACCGTGCAATCGCTTAATTGTAGTAATATGTTAAAGGCGTATCAAGATGTATTTAATGAGTGGGAAAAAGAAGGCATTATAGAGCAGGTTTTGTCAGATCAAAGCAATATAAATAAAGCAGAGTCCACTGAGCACTTCTTACCACATAGACCAGTCATCAAAGAGAATTCAACGACTAAAATTCGTCCCGTGTTTGATGGGTCAGCTAAAACTCGTAATTCCTTATCGTTAAATGAGTGTATTGAAAAGGGGCCAAATTTGATAGAGCTAATACCATCAGTTTTAAATCGTTTTAGATGGGGTAAAATCGGTGTTATAGCCGATATTCGCAAAGCCTTTTTACAAATAAGCCTGCAAGAAAGTGATAGGAATTTTTTGAAGTTTTTATGGTGGAGAGACGGTGACCCTCGCAAATTAATTACTTACAGGCACTGTCGCGTTGTTTTTGGTGTTTCGTGCAGCCCTTTTCTGCTAGCTGCCGTTTTAAACCACCATTTGGAAAACGTACCTGAAAACTTGAAGCATTTGGCTAAGAAACTAAAAGACTCCATGTACGTGGACAATTGTGTAGCAAGCGTTGATTCTGTTGCAGAACTAGAATATTTTCGATCAGAATCTCAAAAACTGCTAGCATCTGCAAAATTTGACTTGCGTGGCTGGATAGATAATGCACACACTTCAGAATATAAAGTTGAGGAAAATTTACAGATTGCG